AGAAAAACACAAACTCAACCCGAAATAATCGTGTACCGGATTATTTCGGATAATGATTTTTATGTCAAAAACTCGAATAATCCAATCCAATTCGAATGCTCACCCTGTCCATAACCATTTAATTTATCCGGACCCGCCCAAATGACAAACGGGTCGGTCCAATATAAGAGGAATTTTGTGGATGGTAGAATTTATTTGTATTAAGAAATTCAACGGTTTATCAAATATTTAAGAACATTATTATATAAATAAATAAATAAAACAAAATCTTACAAAATATTTGATTCCCCAAAGATATTGTATCGTATGTTGGCTGAGGAAGCCGTGTCAAATTTTGCCACTCTAGAGGATGACGTCATATTTATTACGTCATAAATTAGTCACTTTTCCTTACCACTACGGCAAAGTGGTGTTTGTAAATGATTATTTAGAAGTAGAAGTTAACGATTATGAATTAAGTTAGTTTTAAGTGTTTATTACTAAAACTTGGGTGTTTGCAATTATTCTGGAAAATAAATTTAAATAGAAAAAACAGGGTTATGAGTGCTTTTAAAAAATAGCTTATAGCAGATTATTTTAAGGTGGTGTTTGCAAATGATTATTTAAAAGTAGAAGTTAGTGATTGTGAGTTAAGCCAATTTTAAGTGTTTATTTCTAAAAGTTGGGGGTGTTTGCAAATTATCCGGAAAATGAACTTAAATAGAAAAAACAGGGTTGTGGGTGCTTTTAAAAAAAATAGCTTAAAGCAGATTATTTTAAGATAGGCAAAAGCAAAAGTCGATTTTGCAAACACCTGAAAACAGATTATGAGCAAAAAAAAAACTCATAATCACTTTCAAAAAGCGTTTGCTAACACCACCTAAGAGAAGCAAGAGCAAAAATTGATTTTACAAACACCTAAAAATAAATTATAAGAAGAAAAAAAGCTCATAATCACTTTCAAAAAGTTTGTGTAAACACCACCTAAGTATCTAATTAAAGCCTTAATTTACCTGGATTTTTTTTTAATTAAAATAAAACTGATTTTAAAGGAGAGTGAAACTTATTTCTTGACCAAATCAATATATATAGATTAATTATATAATAAATAATAAAAGTGTAAGCAAATAACAAATAGTCTAACCTTGAACATGCACATAATACAAATAACATCTACTTGTATTAATTTATTAAAACTTGAGTGAAGAAACAAACAAAATCTAGCTGGATTTACTTCCTCGTTAAGCTGATCAATATGTGCCACGTGTCAGTTAGGGATTGGATGATTTTAATCAGCCTAATTAAATCATGTGTCTTTATATATGTCACTCCCATAATTAATTGAATCAATTCCATGACTGCAAAGAAAGTTTTCTCTTGAAATTCAATCACAAAAACAAAATTAAATTTAAATTGAATCCCAAAAAAAAAATAAAAATGAGTGGAACAAGAGAAGGGGCGGCCACGAAAGAAACAGCCACAACCTCCGGCAGCGGCAGGCAAGTGATCACCGCCAATACGGTGGCGGCCGCCGTGCAGAAGGCCATAGCGCCGCCGCCGCCACCAAAGAGGGGAGAAGTAATGAGAAGAATCATTGCTGATTTGATTGGCTCTTCTCCCCCTATTTCTCAATCCTCCTGATTGACAAGGATTAATATATAATCTTTTTGTAAGAAACAAAAAGAGGAATTTTATGTACATATCTATATGTAATATATATTTCAATTTTGTCTAAATACCATGGTATATAAAATTTTATTCATGTGTATATTTTCTTCATCCTTAATTTTTTTTTCCCTCTTCATGGTTAATTGATGTAACTTATATGATAAATATTAAATAATTATAATGAATAAAAATTCTTCGGAGTACTACTTGCAACTCTAATGCTTATGATTTTTTTATTTTTTTTTTCTTATCGTAGAATAATCAAGAGTGTTATAAATAATATATTATTCTAACGCAACGCGTAATTGTTTTCAATGTAATCGAGTTGATTAATCATAAAAAAAAGAGGAATAATCTTTTCTTTTTTTTTAATATATATATATTTGCCTCTTCCAATTTTTTTATTTATAAATATTTTCTTATTGTGCATATGAAGAGTTTAGAATTATGTAATTGATGATGATTAATTAGAGAACGAGGGCCAAGTTGTGTAGTTGAAGAATTCAACAATGGGGGTGGTAAACAATTTTTTTTTAAAACTTGAATTTTGTCCAACTTTGACATTTTTGTTTTTGTTTCTCTTTTCTTAATTATGGATCATGGTGTGCATAACTATATTTAACAACTATTTAAAAGGAATTGGTTATCTTAATTATCAACATAATATCACAAATAATGAAAAAAAAGACAATAAATCACAAACAACGTGAATAGACAATTACAAATATCGAAATCGAATGAAGGAAAAATCGCAGCTAACTATATAGGTGCATTGACTAAACCTACACTCTCGTATAATAGCTTGCAAACCATACAAGAAACGTAAATTATATTAGACTAATCATGTGTGAGAAATTCGACATAACGACCGTTGATACGTTGGATATGTGATTGTATTTGGTCCCAACTCCCAAGTACCAAAACTCGTGATCGATTTTCCTTTTTCCAAATTTATTTCGTATTAATTCCTTTTTTTTTTGTTATATTTATTATTTGTAAGATAAAATATTTATATTATAAAAACATGAAAAAATTATACAATAATAATCTTGAAAAAGTGAAAAGCCCATCATTAATTTTCCAATTTGGCCCATATAACCGTTACTCCTCCAACTCCAACGGGTCAATAATAACCCGGCAACAAATTTCAAACTTCTCAAAAAGGAACACTAAAGAAAAGGTAAAAAGCACCCCACAAATACTTTTCCCTTTGCAATTTGCCCCCTTTTTCTATCAATTTCCATATGTTATTAATTATTATTACATTATAGTATATTGAATCAAATACTCTGTCCAATCCCACCTTTCAAACATTTCTCCCACTCTTCTTCTTCTCAAAATCTCCATTTAATTTTCTCCCTACAAAAAAAAATCAAGAATCAAGAAAAATGGGATCTTGCATTAGCAAATGCAGCAAACCAAACAAGAAAGCACTCAAAGAAGATTGCATACATATCCACGAAAAACTCGTTATCTCGCAAGATCCGATTTCTTCGATTCCATCGAATATTACAAAAATACCCTCACAAAAACCTCTAATTTCTCAAACGCCCTCTTTCTCTTCGTTTTCTTGTTCCACCGACGGCAAATGCACAACGGCTTCTTCATCGTCGTCATCATCAACATCTTCGTCGTGTGAATCTTCTACTTCGTCGTCGTTGACCACGGTCAAAGACCGTTCGTTCTCGAACGAGTTCTTGTACTCTTGCGTTAAGGAAAATCCACACGTGATCGGCCAATTTGTTAATAATAATAGTAATAAGGTGATCAAGGAAAAAAGTACAGCTTCTTCTCCGAAGAAACAAGTCTTGATCTTGATGAGTGGCGGCGGCGGTAATAAAATCCATCCTCATCAAAACCTCGACGCGAAAAAAACGAAGAGATCTTCGCCTAAGAAAAGGGCACGTACGAATTCACCTACTCTTGTTGTTAGGCAAAAGAGCTTCCGAAAAGAGAATATTAATAACAATTCTTTTTCCTCGTCGTCGTCTTCTCAAGGGATGATGATGAGGTCACCTTCTCCGGGCCGAAGATTCTCAACAAATGGGAATAATTCAGTCAATTATGGTGTGAACAGGGAAAGTTTTCGGGCTTCAAAGGCGAGCCCGAATAGAGATATGACGATTAGTAGTCGCAATTTTTCCGTGAAGAAAAACGATACGGTTACGAGAAATAATTTTGGGGCGAAGATCGATCGAGAATTAACGGATGATATTATCATGGAGGATATTAACAATCCTCTTATTGCTTTGGATTGCTTCATTTTCTTGTAATTCTTTTTTTTAATTTGTTGATTTTTCTTGCATGCAAATTATTTTTTATTATTATTATTTTTTTTTTCTTGTGGTATATTTTCTTGTAATTAAGATTCTTTTGTTTGTTTGAAGATTGAGTGTGATTTTGTCCCAATTTAATTCATTTATTACTTATTTGATACTTACAAAAAATTGTTGCTATAGAATTACATGTGTGTGTGTGTGTGTGTGTATAGATCTCTAGACAATATTATAACAAAAAATAGACAATATTCTCCCTTGGAAGCAAAACGGCTCGAAAATCGTTCTTCGACGTTCGTTTCAACTTCACGAAATTCAGCTCCTTCCAACCATTATAGTTAGATAAGTTAAGCTAACAAACTACTTCCCGACAATCCGCTTAAACTTTTCCATCGGACGAAGGCAATTCCCGATCAACTTCAACAGATCTCGAAGAAGTAGATACGGAATTAGTGCCTCTTGACGGAGCTGAAGAAGGTACCGGAAGCTTCTTAGGCAGCATTTGCTCGAAAAGGTATGCATTCGGCAATCTCGTTGCTTCTGACATTAAAATCAAAGCTAATAAGCTCAGAATTAAGCACTTTTGCCCCCAAGAATCTAACATGATTAATAATAATAAATAATAATAATGGGTTAATTAGTCTAAGAAAAAACTTGTGTAAGAGCATCCCTTTTATATTACCTAAGTACCCTTTTGGCAGGAGACATGTTTGAGCAATCTAAGAAGTGTTGCAGCTTGTTTGTTTGACAAAAAGATGAAACATTTGGTAGACAATGTCTTAATTTAATAATACTTAGCTGTTTTATTACAAATTTTTAATTTATTTAAAATTAATTAATTAAAAAAGTTTGTTGAATTTAATAATTAAATTGAGGGAAAAAAGATGCAACCTCTCTTTGACTCCATGGGACAGTGCTTTATCAAGAAAATGGAAAAAAGAATTAATTAAAACTTTGAATTAGTGACGAAAACTAGGTCTAATGATTAAGTAGTTAAGGTTTGCACGACCAAGAGCTGTCCTAAATTAGACCCTTAATCATGACTTTGTTGAATTTTAAGATATTGTTTGTAATTTCATTCTAAAATATAAAAAAAATCGGAAGTGAAAAAACTAATTCCAATTTCGCTGGAAAAAAAAAATTAGAACAATTGGCCGGAATCGTAATTTTGAAAATTGAAATGAAAAAACTTGTTTCGAAATCGGAAATTTCGAATTGATCTGACCGGAACGAAAATTGGAACCTCAAATATATTCCAACTTCGATAAAAAAAAAAAAAAAAAAAAACAGATAGAAAATTACTTTATAAAAAATATTGCTATTATTATTATTTTTATTTATTTAATTTGAGGAATATAATATGAGAAAAGAATGTAGTGCACACGGGGACTATTATTATATGTCCTGAAATCGGCGTCTTATCTTAAAAAATATTCCATATACCTCTGGCAACAATAATATGCATCATCTCTTAAAATATCTAAATCAAAATTAAGGGTAAATTACGAGCAGCCCCTCGAGGTATTATCAAATTACAAAAAGTTCTTCGTATTTAAGTATTTATAATCATGCCCCTCAACTATGAATCTTCTTGTACGTCCAGCTTTATGATGTCAAATTCAACAGAATCTTCTAGATTATGTTGAATGTTCTCTACTTTGTACTCGTTTTATGCAAAAAATCAATTTCTCATCCACCACAATATGATATTTACAAGCCAAGAGACACATTTTACGATCATCTTGTTTCAAAATATGGAGCTCGAATATAGTAAAACAGGTACAAATTGGAGAATATTTCATATAACCTAGAAGATTCCACTAAATTTGACACTACCGTATAAGAAAATTCATAGTTGATGGATAATTGTAATTACCCAATTATGAGAAGTTTTTTCGTAATTTGACCTAACCTTAGGAGGGTGACCGTAATTTATCCTAAAAATTAGAGAATTGTATTATTATGATTGTAGAAGATTTAAAGAAACTTTAGTTCATAATTATTTTATACTATCCTACATAACTCTATGACTTTATTCATCCTTTGTGAATTAAGTAAATATTTTATAATCAAATATCATAGTTCATAATTGAGAAAAAAAAATGAGATTCATTTTATGAATATGCAAAATTTAAATTTAGAGCTAACTGTCGGAGAATATTGAGAATATTATATTATAGAACTCTTGTAATATTAGGATTCTAGTATGATTGAGTTACCTAGATTAGTTAGGATTTAGTTACCTAGTCAAACTCTATTAGCTTGCAATATTTCTCTCTATATATTCCATGTAATCAACCAATAACATAATGGGGGTTTCTATTCTATTAGGTATTATTAATTCTCTCCTTCTCCAATTCTATTCTTCCTATATGGTATCAGATATCTTTCTTTTTTCTATCTTTTCTATGAACACCACCCAAATTTTTTCCTCCGCCGTTGGTTCTCTATCTTTTTCTTTCATTATAATTTTTTTTTCAAATACAGTGGGTGTAAGTGAAATTAATATAGGGAGATAAGTGAAAGTTTCTACTTAATACTTAAATCAATGTAGTAATCACAAAATATATTATAAATATCACAAATTGTATTACTCATTTGAGTCATTTGTGCCAAATTCTGTACAATTGAAGATTTAAAGTAAATAAAAAATACAAAATAAAAAAGAGAATACTACAAAATATATATAAAGAAGAGAAAAAAAAAGAATCTTTGTGCATTGCTAAGTTAGAGAAGTTAAGCTAATAAGCTACTTTCGACGATCCGCTTAAACTTTTCCGTCGGACGAAGGCAAATTCCGATCGATCTCAACAGATTTCGAAGAAGCGGTTACAGAATTAGTTCCTTTCGATGGCGCCGAAGAAGGTATTGGAAGCTTCTTAGGCAGCATTTGCTCGAAACTGTATGCATTTGGCAATCTTGATGCTTCTGAAATTAAAATCAAAGCTAATAAGCTCAGAAATAAGCACTTTTGCCTCCAAGAATCTGACATGATGAAAATTAAATGCCTCACACCAAAGAAAGAAGGAAAAATAAAAAGAACTTAATTATGTGAAACTGCTTGTGATTTTAGCTTCTATAAGTACCCTTTTGGCAGCAGACATGTTGAGCAATCTAAGAAGTGCTTGCCAGCTTGGCAAGAGACAGTGTCCTAATTTAATAATTTTAGATTTTTTTTTATTATTAATTTTTTTTTTTAATTTTAATAATGGGGACAAATCTTTGTTGTCAGACTTGTCAATGCTATAAACAATCACTAGTGTCACTAGGGCATGCAATTATTTAATTAAATAGGTATTTTCCAATTTTTATTTTTTATTTTTTATTATTATTTTGTTTAATTTTTATTAATCTTGAAATTTAATGATGCAAACATGAGGGTGGGAATTGGAATTAAATAATAGTTAGGGGGTGAATAGGGGGGACAAACCACAGTTCAAAAAGGGGTAAAGTGTGTAAATAAAATAAAAAAATTGAAAACATTGTTGTCCACTCCTTTAATAAAAAGGGTGTAATGTTTAATTTAATAAATAAAAAGGAGTGAGTGGCAATATTACTGTACTGTCTCTTGTATTTTAGCAATAATTTTTTGCAACCTTATCATAAAAGTTGACAAATTGATGAACCCATACTTTCATTTAGTGATAAATAGTTAAGCGGTTGAAGTAAGTGAGTATGTATCAATTAACTCTCGTTCGAATTTCGTTACCAACAGTCGTTAGGTCGAACTTGTCACACATGGTTAGCCTAATGTGATTTACGTCTCTCGTATGATTTTACATGATTCCAATCTTATCTTTAACCCCATAAGACTATAAATAGTTATTTATTTATTTAAATAGTAAGAATATATAGGCAAAAAATAATGGAAAATGGGTTCTTGAAAATAGAATGTATTAATTAGGACAAGTGAATAAACATATGATTGAAGAGGGCTTTTGTGGACAATGAGGAGCTGGACCAAGGTGGATAAATTGAACAAGTTTTCCTCAAGTGGTGGTCCCAAATTAAATAATCATGAATTTGTGGGTTAGTTTCAGAATTATTTTTTTTCTTTTTATTTTTATTTAATGATGTTCTTTTTGACAAATTTAATACGTCACAAAAGTTTTTTGTGCACACGGACACTAATTTTAAAATACTTCAAAATAAATAAAAGAATTGGGGGTGTCAACGCACAACGATGGAAGCAAATGGCACACAATTAACATTATTTTTATTTATCGTTTTGTCGACGCGGTTAATGAATCATTAAAAAATAGTATTTTTCTGGCAATTACGGCCACACTCTGAACTAAGTTCAAATTACGAAAAAATCCATTTTGTTTGGTAATTTACAATCACCTCCTCAACTATGAATCATCTTACACGTGCACTCTTATGGTGTCAAATTCAATAAAATATTTTAGCTTCTATGGAATATTCTCCAGTTTGTGAATACTCGTTTTGTGCAAAAATGCAGTTTCTGATGCACCACAATGTGATACTTACAAGCCAAGAGATAGGGGTGTGCACGGGTCGGTTCGGTTCGGTTTTAGCCAAAAACCGAACCGAACCGAATATATCGGTTTTTATAAAATTAAAAACCGTGCATGTCGATTTTTTATCGGTTCGGTTTTTTTCGGTTTCGGTTCGATTTTGGTTTTTTTCGGTTCGGTTTCGGTTATTTTTCGGTTCAAGTGTCAATAAATATTCAAGTTGTTGTACAAAAAAAAAATACAATTACAATTACTTTCACAACTTACTAATGCAATGAAAATATAAAATCTTTAATTTCATAGGACTTCACGTAATTTAGATGATGTATTATGCTTCATTTTTTTTTTCCTACTTTCATCTACCACATTATTAAAACCATGAACTCAAGTAAATTTTTACTTACTAAATAAATAAAATACAATGTCTCAATTTATGAACAAATGCTTAGAATGAGACAAGTAATTGAAAGATAGAAAATAAATATTAGGGTAAAATAATACATATATTATATAAAATGAAGTCATTTTATAGTTTCGGTTCGGTTCGGTTTTTCGGTTCGGTTATTTACCTTCCCACCATACCGAACCGAATAATTCGGTATTTCAAAAATAAAAAACCGTACATGCGGTTTGCTATTCGGTACGGTTTAAAACGGCTCGGTTTTTCGGTTTTTCGGTTCGGTTTTTCGGTTTTTCGGTTTTTTTGCTCACCCCTACCAAGAGATACATCTTATAGTCATCTTGTTTCAAAATGTGGAGGTCGAATGGGGTAAAACGGGTACAAACTGGAGAACATTCCACATAATCTAGAAGATTCCACTAAATTCGACACCGCAAGGGTGGACGTGTAAGAAGATTAATAGTTAAGGAGGGTGGTTGTAATTACCCGAACATGAGGGGTGTTTTTGTAATTTAACCTTACTTCAGGGGTTAGACCGTAATTTACCCTTTTTGACATAATGGGCCTAAGTAACGATGAACCTAAATGTAGCTTTATTTTCAGCCCAAATACTTTTATGTAGCCCAATTAATAATATTAAGGGTAAATTACAAACACCCCCCTGAGGTATGGTCAAATTACAAAAACACCCCTCTTGTTTGGATAATTACAAAGACCCACTCAACTACTCAAATTTAGTGGAATCTTCGAGATTATATGGAATATTATCACTTTTGTACTCGTTTTGTCCCATTCGAACTCTTCATTATGAAGCAAGATGATCATAATATGTGTTTTGTAGCTTGTATATATCAGTTTGTGGTGCATCGGAAACTGTATTTTTACACAAAACGAGTACAAACTAGAGCACATTCCACGAAATCTAGATGATTATGTTGAATTTGGCACCATAAGGGTGGAGGTGTAAGAAAAAATCATAGTTAAGGGGGGTAGATGTAATTATCCAAACAAGAGGGGGGTTTTTGTAATTTGACCATACCTCAGGGGGGTGTTTGTAATTTACCCTAATATTAATAACTATCAAAATTAAACCATTTTAAGAGCCATATATCAGTTGCATTTTAGACTCTATTCTATTAATAATAAAATGTATATTTTCAACTTATCAAAAAAAAAATGTATGTTTTAAAAAAAATAATAAAAAAAAAAGTAAAAAGTAGAAGAAATGAGTGGTGTGATTGGTTACAGATGGGATTGTGTGGGTCCAGATAACAAACACACAGAACAATTGTTGCCACTCTAATCTCTCTCAATTGTGTTTCCATGGTGTCCACAAACCCTCCTCTCTCTCTCTCTCTCTCTCTCTCTCTCATCACACAGATTTCTCACAGAACCACACACACACACACACATTCAGAGTGAGAAAAAACACAACTGTGTTTGTTGAGAAAAAAAAAGGTAAATGCAAGAAAGAGAATGAGTAATCTGTTATGCAGCAATGGCCACTCAAACAGCTGCATTATCACCTTCTTATTACATCCATAACTGCAAATCCAGGCCTTCTTCACCTGCAGTTATCTTGTCCCAATCTACACCTTCTTACAATCCTCTTGTTTTCCAGGTTCTTTCCTTTTTTTTTTTTCCCGTCTGATTTTAAGATATTGTCTTAAATTGTGGTGTTTATTTATTTTACTAGTTTGGATGACTGAAAATAGGCTGTAGTTCAAGAAATGTAAAGGGAATTGTTGTTAAAATCAAGAAAATGTTCTTACAAACTTGGTGTAAAATTTGTTGTTAAAATCAAGAAAATGTTTTGCCCTTACAAACTTGGTGTAAAATTGTTGTTAAAATCAAGAAAATGTTCTTTTATCTTTCTTTTTGCCCTTTGGCATAAAGGGTTGCTAAAAAGATTCAATCTTGAACAGAAATAAGTGCAGCCGAACCACATTTCGCATCCGGGACTTGCTGAAAGCACCTTAATTTTACGATTTACGTTACGATGCCTCTATAGTACTTGGATTTAAATTCGATTGAATGTGAAATGTGAATGGCTACTTATATTTACGATTACGTTGCAATGTCTATATATTTGGACTTGAATTTCTCGTCGTGCGTTTTGATAATAGGCTGTACGGCTTTTGGGCCCGCCAGCAAGATTCGAAGCTTCGAAGCTCAAAGTCTTGTTTATGGGAGAAGAAGTCGACACTTCGACTAGAATTGTGCCGAGAACTTATACACTCTCCCATTGTGACTTCACGGCTAATTTAACTCTATCCGTTTCCAACATTATCCAGCGCAATCAGGTAAACTTCTTCTTTGATCGTAGAATTCAGACCGAACCAAGCCTATGTTTTTGGAGTCGAGGTTTACTGTTTTTACTCTTTTACTGCCAGTTGACAGGATGGTATAGTAAAGACGACGTGGTCGCTGAGTGGACAGACGTGAACGGTGACCTGTTCCTGAACGTCCATTGCCATGTCAGCGGACCGAATTCTTTATCTGCCACCGTCGCAGAATTCAGATACCACATTTTCTCCAAGGAATTGCCTTTGGTAAATAACTTCTTTACAAAAAAAAAAAGAAAAAAAATCGCTGCTTGTGATACATACACGGCTTAAATTTATCGAACTTTCGTTTCAATGATTATAAAATCACCAGGTTCTCGAGGCAGTGCTGTATGGAGATTCCGATTTTTTCAGAGAGCATCAAGAACTAATGGATGCTATAGTGAGAGTGTATTTCCATTCCAGCTTCAAGATGTACAATCGTATGGAATGTTGGGGTCCGTTGAAGGACGCTGCCCTCGTAAGTTCAATTAATAATAATAATAATAATATTAAAAATTGTATATTTTCGTGAAATGCCGATTAACGAAAAATACGATGAATTTTTCAGGGAATAGGAGTAGATAAAATAAATGGATATTCATCTGCAAGCAAGGAAAATTCTCATGCTCCTAAATTTTGGGCAAGTCCAAAATCAATCCTCCAAGCACTCTTTACCTTCCTGCTCTGATTTCTATGTATACGTCATACGACGAAGAAGAAGTCGAAGAGTACGATATGAGACGAGCTTTTTTTGTCGAATTTATACTGCAAAAATTTGCAAGAGTATTTTTTTTTATTGAATTGTATGTAAATACTGGAGACATATTCTTATTTCAAAGCCAATATTTCTTCATGAAAGAGAAGTCACAGGTACAAAAAATATAAAAATGCAACTAGCAGACACAAATAGAAAGATAAATGCAACAAATAAAGTCGAACAAACGAACAATAAACTCTCGAAAAAGACACGGACCTATATCCACAAACTCATTACACGGAATATACAAAAGCCATAAATCCATAGATTATATATATATATATATATGTATGTTATAAGTCTCAACGATCTGTAGAAAAACAAAGAAATCGAGCGAAACTCTGCCCACTATATATAATCAGCCCGAAATTTCAAATCATCACTTCACTCACTCAATGCGACCTATTCGTTTTGGGCGAAGAAGACTTGGCTTTAGCAAAATCGACCAAGTCTCTGAAAAGTGCATCCTCTGGTTTCTCTTGCTTAGACGGGGCGGCAGGTGGTTTGATCGAGAGATTTTGGGTTTGACCAACTAAGCTATCGTAAGAAGAACCTGACCCACTGCTCGAATGGGAGGGCCCACCTGCGTGTTGATCGAAAAACTGCTGTCTTTGGTTGTGCCTGGCAGGTGGAGGTGGCAGGTTTTCAGTGGCCGGAACTTCCCAAGGAGCTGGGGGTAAATTGTCCGGAGATTTGATTGTAGGGGTATTTTTGTCATTTGTTGTTTTCGGAGCAAACATCGATGCTGTAGGATTAACGAAATCATCCGAAGGAGAGGGAGAAAGTGTTGGACTTGTTGAAGCAATCGAGTTTTTGCTGCTTGAATTAACAGTTTTTGTGCCATAAAAATCTCCGCTGAGATAATCAATCGAACCAGAATCTGCACTAGTTGGTTTCTTCGAGGATGGCGGAGGTGGAAGAAAACCGGGCGCACTCTTGACGACAGCTGGCTTGCTGACGTGTCCATGCGATGTATCCCTTGATGACCTGGCATAAATGCCAATTATTTGTTGTGTATAGAAAATGAATCAAGAATGGAGAAAAATTTAACCGAATACTTGTTAATTTATTTTACCTGCGTGCTAACTGAGAAAAATCATCTTCAGGTTCGTCGTCTTCGTGATTTACACTCATAAGAGGTGCAATGGGAGTTTGTATATTCACCACCGAAGAAGAAACGGGCGGTGTTCCCTTGGCAATATTATCGTGTCTGCTAAGAACTCGCTGCAAATTGTCGTTCAATGCCAGTCCCTTGCATAGAAGATCCTCGTCTCTGTAAAAAAAAAGAAAAATAATTGATATATTGCCATGTTTGACTTGCTTTTCTTCGGTACTTTGAAAAAAGATATAAAGAGGTGTGCTTACGCAGTATTATTCACGAGAATCATGACTCGGCTTTGGTATGAACGGCACTGGTCAACCAAGTCAACGATGATCTCATCCTTCAAACCCTATACGGCAAAATCCAAAAAGTCAATAAGTTTGTCACAGTTGCATGAAATGTTAACATCCTACAAAAAATTGAACAGAAACACACTAAATAACATATTAAAACACACACACACACACACACACACACACACACACACACACACACACACACACGAGTAAAGAATTTCAACCTGAGGATTATTTGGATCCAAGGCAGATAGCATTTCCATAAGAACATCAGAAATTCCCTCGGCATTTAGCATCTCTGGCAAGCTATATTTATCATAAGAAAGAAGATAATCAAATTCAAGGAGTGAACTCATGAAGTATTAACTTAAACTATTCCAAACACACACCAAAAAAAATAAAAAAATCTTGCCGATGAACGAGTAAATACAGAAGAAAAATAAATAGGATATATATATATATATATATATATATATATATATATATATATATATATATATACCTAAGTCCAGAAGTATCAGCTACAAGAGAGGCTTGTACAGCAACTTCCTCGTATGGGGAAGTAGGGTGAACTATCGGATGTGTCTGTGGTGGAGTGAATATCGGTACACTATTTTCCTCTCTAGGCGGAAATTCTACCCCAGCTGACTGTCAAATTCAAAATACAGAAAATAAAATATGAATAAATTATGATTAGAAAAAAAATTCCAATAAAATAATATGAATCGAAGAGATTATTAGTCACCCTCAATTCATTGTAAGCAGCATAATACTGGGGAAACTTTCCCCGAGCTCCCCCGAAAGCTACTTGCCAAGTATCTATCAACACTAGAATCTTCTCCCTTACGTTTAAATCGGGCTGCAAATGTGTATGACAAGAAAGATATAAAAGGTTAACTGAAAGATAATATTGAAATAAAAAAGGAGATTTTGTAGGCGAATACACCACCTTCTTCTTTACTATCTTGACCATATCATGTAAAATATCTCGCTCGACAATCTGCTGAAACACGTTTTCCCCGCAATTTTTGCTAAGTGTCTCCAGCACCTGGATCGTAAAATAGAGAAAGATATTTTAGCTGGACGCGATTCATTCAGTTGTCTTCAGACAAACATAAATGGGCTTACATGCAAAGAAGCCCAACGAGTTATTTTCGGCGACTGTTGTTAAAAATTAGATATAACCAGAAGAATTTGGTCGTCAAAGAATTTGGTCAACTTATCATAAAAATCATGCCGGAAAAGGTTTTTAAGAAACTTGATGGGAAAGTATTTATATCGAAAGAAAAGATTTGGAACAGTGTATATAATTTTGAAGTCTAAAATCTAGTCTAATTATGACCACACGTTATACATCTACTTGTTTAGCAAACCGAAAGATATTTAGGAGCAACCGACAAAATAAGGATACTGAAATTAATGCCATAATTGAAGTTCGTTTGCAAAATTTATAATTCAGAAAATGGATGATTACGCAGGCATGACAAAGAACAAAGAGAACTATAGACTTACGAATAGAGCAAGGAGCTGTATTTTAGGGCTTTTATTCCCGAGTTTTTTCTTGAGTATCTTCAAAGCATCCTTCGTTTGCCTAATTGAATTCAAGAAACGATGTTACGTGAAAGAAGACGTCGTTTGCAGTAACTAATTAGAGAAAATTCAATAAGAAATTTTCCAAGTAAGACAAAAAACAAATACCCGGGATCCATGTTTATCATGTCGCATAGCTCTAGATTCACTGCCCAATCTGGACCAATCAGCATGTCACTGGTTGCCCTCTCAGCAATAGCTGCCGCATTTGCCATTTTCGATACTGACACGTCTTTCTAATTCCTAAATAAAACAAATTACATCGCCAATATAAGTAACACAAATGTCAACAGAAATAAAAACAGATCGAAATCGTTTGGTAAGCGCACATGAATACCATCCACCGAAGAAGACAAATAACGGTTTACGAAATCCAAAGAATCAGATGCCGTAAACGAAAATCGACAAAATCACAGACACAGTAGCATGTGTACAAACTTCAAATAGAGAATGACAAAATTAAACAGAAGAGCGAAAAAAAAACCCTAAATTCAAACGCCTGCACACAACATAGACATACAACAAGCTAAATTCTTTCAAGTTTCATCTATTTCACAGCAGAAGTAAACCCTAGAGTAAATCAATATGAAATGTATAATCAGAATTCGTGTAATTAGCTGCGCTAAAAGCCTAATTAAACAACACCCAAGAGAAAATGAACCCTCAAAGTCAAAATTCATCCAAAAAAAAAAAATCGGCTAATAAAAACCTAAAGATCATGCCTTTTTCTAAAAAAAAGAGAATCAGCTCGCAGATAAAATCAAAGAGATCGAGAATTATGAGGATCAAATCAAAAGTGCGAGAATTCCAAGCCAGGATCTTTAGAGAGAGAAATACCTGCCGGAAACCCTTAAGTCTTGCCGAGTCCACAGAGAGAGAGAGAGAGAATGAAATGGAATATATATAATATATAAAATATATATATATATGCTATTAATTTTTTGTATATGCTACTAAATTATGTATGCTTATAGATAGATAAATGTGAAGAAACAATACAGATTAGATGAAGATAAAAAAAATGGAGAGAGAGAATGAAGAAATTTGGGTGTGTGTTTGTGCGAGTAATTTGGTGTGTCAATTTTTTCAACCTTTGAACCCTTTTATCTTGTGGTAGAAGGGAAGGATTTTGTACGTTAATAAATTTCAATTTCTTGTTTTAGGGCGTGTTTGGTTGGACAAAAAAAACAGAAATATCATAAGTTGCAACAATAATCTCTACACACTTCTCAAGAAAAAAAAAAAGCAAAAAAAAAAAATTAAACTCTACACCGTCAAATTCAACATAATTTTACAGATTCCGTGGAATTCTCTAGTTTGTACTCGTTTTATGCAAAAACACAGTTTCTGATACACCACATTCTAATATTTATAAGCCAAAAGACACATCTTATGATCATCTTTTATCAAAATGTGGAGATCGAATAGAGTAAAACGGATACAAATCGAAGAATATTCTACATAATCTAAAAGATTCCACTAAATTCGAAACACAAACGTGGACGTGTAAGAAAATTCATAGTTAATGAATTGTTGTAATTACCCAAACATGAAGGTTTTTTTTATAGTTTATCGCTAATAAATTTGATCAAATGACATTTGTCTAATTAAAGGGTAATTGTTAATTAGTCAAACATGAGGGGCTCTTTTGTAATTTGACGTTAACTCGCGGGATGACCGCAATTTACCAGACCTTATATATTACACTTGAACCAAACGCGTCCTTACAACTTTTTATTAAGCCTTCGGCTAAACGGACAGGTAGAGTGATGACAGACAAATGAGGTTTGCTTACTAGAACAGTTGACCAACTTTTGACGGTGGTTGTTAGATTATTCTTTCTTTTGACTTTTTATTTATTTATTATTTTCTTAGCAAATAAATCTACGTGGAAAAGCGCGTCTTTGCACTGCTCACGAACTCCATTACAAAATTGGACTACAATTATAACACGAATTCTCCTTATGCATTGACTTTTAATATGTTTGATTTAATTCATATATACAATTGCACTACTAATTTTCAATTTCTAATTTTTTTTACAAATAAACTTCAGTTATAAATAAAAACTAAATAAATATATAAATATTATTGGATACCATTATATATTTTTGAATTAAATACTTAAATAAAATAAATAATTATTTTTTGCTAATGTAATATATAAAAACTTTAATCAAACTAATGGCCCAATTAGGAAAATTAAATTGGACAAATATTGGCAAAGTGGGCCGAAACTGTGTTTTATTTTGGCCCAAAATAATTATTAATTTTATTAATATTTAAATTTAATGATTTAAACTACAATTAAAACTCTATAAATTAATATAGTCGGATTTGACAAATACTATTAATTTAATGAAATATTAATTTAACAAAATATCGTTTTAACACATTGTCCTTGAGTCGGGACCGTAAGATTCTATAACGCATTGAACCGAATTTATTGCCAAAAATATATATATTTTTTCACCTTTGTTTAGTTGGTTTTTTTTTATTTTTCTTTACAATTATGAATTATAGAAAGTACTAATTTATCAATATACCATTTTTCCTAATATTACTAAGATATTATATCAATTGCAATCTCACTAGACAAGTTTCGTGTGACGAGTTTGATTTCAGAAAATGCTGATGGTGATCCCTTAATATGGTGAAGGAAAACGGTAAAAAAAAAAATTAAAGGTGGAAAATAATTTAAATCAAAACAATTAAATAAAAACAATTAACAACAACAGCCGAAAAACAGAGAACACGCTTTTTCACCGCGTAATCGGCGGCAAGATTTTTGCTTAAAAACGTGTTTTACTTCTTCCGGAGTGGGAAAAGGGCCGGCCAGCAACCAGTCAGCACATACTTACCACCGCCGCCGCCGCCGCCGCCGCCATTATTACCACCACCGGACTTTTTCCTTTTCTTGGGCTTCAACGAAAACGGAAACACCATGTTAATAAACAACCCTTTGTTCTGAAAACTCCGACCACCACCACTCATCAAATTATTTCCGCCATCTCTCTTGATTTTCTCTCTCTTCACTACCACCACCTTCACCGGTTGATCCGCTGTTTGTGGGACCGGATGATGATTTTCAACTCTGTAGCGATGCTCGACGAGATCTTTCAGGGAGAGTTCGTACGAGGATTCGGGCATGGCTTTCACCATTTCCATGAGCTCCCACTGCCCTCTGGCAATGGCTTCCACCCTGGATTTCTCCGACAAGGAGCGGCGGTGGCTGTGGCGGCGGAGCAGTGGATGTGATGGGCTGTTGCTCTTCCATAACGGCGGCGAACTTATTTCTAAATATTCGTCGGTTTCCATATTTTTGGGTTCTTGTCTGAATTGCTGCACTACTGGTTCTTCTCTGGTCACTTTCATTTTTATAGCAAGAATTGTGTTTTAGTGTTTAGATGGTGTGGTTTCAATACTTCATTATTCATTATTAAAATAAAAAGTTTAAATTACGGCTACCTCCGATATAAATATCAAATTACGAAAAACCCCCCGCTTGTTTGGGTAATTACAACGCCACCACTTATCAACTACGAATTTTCTGACACATGCATCCACCCTTGTGGTGTCAAATTCAACAAAATCTTCTAGATTCCGTGGAACGTTCTCTAATTTGTACTCGTTTTGTGCAAGATGCAGTTTCTGATGTACTACAATCTGATATTTTCAAGCCAAAAGACACATCTTATAATCATCTTGTTTTGAAGTGTGGAGCTCGAATAGGGTAAAACGGGTAGAAATTGGATAATATTCCATATAATCTAGAAAATTTCAATAAATTCGACACCACAAGAGTGGACATATAAGAAGATTCATAATTGAAGGGTGTGATTGTAATTACTCAAATATGAGGGTTTTTTTTCTTAATTTAACTTTATCTCAGGAGTAACCATAATTTATGCCAAAATAAAATAAAAATTTATTGTTGCTAGATTATTATGGAGGAAAAAAGTCAATATTTCTTCTAGATAGATGGCCTAATTTTTCAATAAATTTCCCCTGTTTTTGTGTATTTTTCATAGCATTTTATGATATTTTTAGGGTTTTTTTCTTTCCATAATAAATTTTATATTATTGGTTAATCAAAGTTGTTTTAATGAACGGTCTGAAATTAGGCCAAATGGTAATTAAGAGTGTTAGTTGAAAAGTACACTCGGGTTAATTACTAGTAATTAGGTACTAATGTAGCAAATCAGCCTGAATATATATATATATATATATATATATATATATATATATATATATATATATATATATATATATATATATATATATATATATATATATATATATATATATATATATATATATATATATATATATATATATATATATATATATATATATATGTCATTTACAAGTGGAAGTCGAGGAGGAGGAAACTCATACACTAATGTAAATTTAAATAATTATTAGGAATGATATTAAGTATTGAATTTGCAGATTAAATGCATATATATATATTGTACTTTTTTTTCTTTTTACTTAAAACTTAATGAAGTGTATTGCTATAAGTGTTTAATTTTTATATATGAATTATAATAATATACCTAAAATATTTCACTCGGTGTAGCATTAAATATATCGGAACTTCAGAATTTTTTTACTCCCTTTCATTATTTTTATAAGACATGCTTTAATTATTGCGAGGGCCAAAGTTGGTGATTAGTGGACTCATAAAAAAATTAAGATACTTAATCAAGAATTTTATTATTGCATTTAAAGTACTGTTTTATTTTATTTTTCAGAAAGAGGTATATAGAACTAGATTTAGTGGTGGTGTATTGATAATGCAATCTAGTACGATAATTATGAAAAGAGATTAACTTAATCAAAGTGAGATGGACATTTAAATATATACATAATTAACTTAATCATTGCATAATTGTTAGCTTCTGCAGAGCTAATCATCAACAAAATAAATTAAAGTATATTTGTTGTTATTAGTTATTATCATATGATTTCGAGGTGTACAATTTTAAATAGAAAATTTAATCATCATTTTTTATTTTTATTTTTTATTTTTTATTCAATGAAATTCCATTTTCAGTAAAAAAAAATAATATCAAAAAAAATAAAAAAATAATATATAATTACAGTGGGGGGTGAATTGGACTTTCTCTATTACTTAATTTATTTTATGGGCTGGAAAGCAGGCTCTGGGCTGAGCCACCTCCTCCCTAGCTCCGCCACCACCAACACCACCGCCCACCGCCGCGACTCGCCGTTCTCTGCGAAGGCACTAACCACCACTATCCTCAACCACGTCCGCCTCGGGCGAATTCCAAAAGCAATCTCCATTCTCTTCTCTTCTGCAGAACCTTTGCCTTTTTCTCTCTACGCCGATCTCTTCAGAATCTGCGCGTCGAACAAAGCAATTGTTGAGGCCCGGAAACTTGAATCTCACTTAGTCACCTTCACTCCGGACCCACCATTGTTTCTGCTCAACAGGGCCATAGAATGTTACGGGAAATGCGGTTGTTCGGAGGATGCCGAGGAGCTGTTCGAAGAAATGCCGAAGAGAGACGGCGGGTCTTGGAATGCGATGCTCTCCGCGTATTCGAGAAACGGGCGCGCGGGGGATGCGCTGGGCTTGTTCTCCAAGATGATCGGGGCGGGTGTTTTTGCTAGTGAGGTCACTTTTGCTAGTGTTCTTTGGTCTTGCGGTGCTGCGTTGGAGCTTTGGCTGTGCAGGCAGGTCCATGGTCTTGTTGTGAAATATGGTTATTTGGGAAATGTTATATTGGAGACTTCGCTCGTTGATGTGTACGGAAAATGCCGGGCGATGGTCGATGCCAGAAGGATGTTTGACGAGATTGAGAAACCGAACGATGTTTCTTGGAATGTGATCATTAGAAGGTATCTCGAAATGAGTGAGGGCAGTGAGGCCTTAAACGTGTTTTCTAAAATGATAAAGACGAAGGTGAAGCCTATGAGTTTTACTGTGTTGAATGCCGTTCTTGCTTGTACGAGTATTGGTGGACTTAAAGAAGGCCTTCAAATTCATGGATTCGGTATCAAGATTAACATGGAAGAGGATGAAGTGGTTTCGAGTACTCTTATAGCATGTACGCAAAATTTGGCGATTTAGAGAGCTCAAGGAGGATTTTCGACTTGCCTTGCTCCAAAGGTATTGTTAGCTACACTTCAATGGTCACTGCGTATGCTAAGACGGGAAGAATGACCGAAGCCAGAGTGTTGTTCGACGAAATGCCCGAAAGAACAGTAGTATCTTGGAACACAATGTTGGCATGCTACACAAGCTCCTTCGAGTGGGCTAAAGCGTTGAACTTCTTGAAATTGATGAGTCGAGAGACCGAAGCTGATGATGTCACACTTGGCTTGATTTTGAATATGTGTGCAGTGATTCCAGATGTAGAAACGGGGAAACAGGTTCATGCATATGCCTATAGACACGGTTTCTACCCCGATCCGTTTCTTGGCAATGCACTTCTTAACATGTACGGGAAGTGTGGTAACTTGACTAGTGCAAGGATTTTGTTCCACGAGATGAGCCATTTGCGAGATAATATTTCTTGGAATGCTTTACTGACGACCTATGCTCGTAACGGATTGAGCCAAGAATCGATTATGACGTTTAGGAAGATGCTAGGAGAGGCAAAGCCATGCGAAACCACCTTTGGAACTCTCTTAGCTGTTTGTGCAGATACAGTCACCCTCAAATTAGGTAAACAAATCCACGCATTCATGATCAGAAACGGGTACGATATTGATATTGTCGTTAGTGGAGCTTTAGTCGACATGTACACAAAATGTTGCTGCGTTTTATACGCTATGAAGGTATTTGAGCAATCTGATCCGAAAGATTTGATTCTCTTCAATTCGACGATTTTGGGTTGTTCGCATAATGGAATGGGTGGGAAAGTATTTGAACTATTCGAGACAATGGAGAAGGAAGGGATTAAACCAGATAGGGTAACTTTTCAAGGTTTATTACTAGCTTGTATATCTGAGGGCCGAGTTGAAAACGGGAGGCGTTATTTTGAACTAATGAGTGATAAGTATTGTTTGCTGCCTGAGTTGGAGCATTATGTTTTAATGGTTGAGCTGTTTGGCTATTACGGATTTATGGATGAACTCGAGCGTTTTATTACGAAAATGCCATTCAAGCCGACTTTCAGAATATTGACGAGAGTGATTCATTTTAGCCGAAAGTTTGAGTGCTTCGAGTTGGGGCAGTGGGCATCTGATCAGCTCGGTGAATTGGATCCCTTGGTTCCTTTTCGATTTGAAGATATCGATAACTCTCCTCCGATTAACGCAGATTATCGGGACAGAAGATAAATGCACCAATTCACATAGTGGATAATGCTATTTGGAATTTGGGGTTTTTTTCTTGACAAATATTGTATTTGAGTTAATGTGGCTAAAATCCTGATGTGGTGATCTACTAATCGAGGCTTAGGTAAGCTCATCAAACGGTGCCGTATTGTGTTCATTTCTAACTTTCTTTTTGTGAAGAAAACAAGCATCTTCTAAATTTGTCATTTCTATTTTATATATTTTGAATGTTCCAGAATCCAGTGTAAGATCAGAATTATAAGGGCAAATTACGGCGAGCGAGCTCCCTGAGGTAAGCTCAAATTATTAAAAAAAATCCTTTATGTTTGGATAATTACAACTACGCCCCTCAACTATGTTTTTTCTTACGAAAAAACCCTCATTCAGTAGGTAAATTTGACACCGTAAGGGTGGAGATGTGTAAGATAATACATAATTGAGGGGTGGTTGTAAACTTGTAATTAACCAAATATGAGGGGGTTTTTCGTAATTTGACCTTATCTCAGGGGGGCTGGCCGTAATTTGCCTAAATTACAATGCCACAACTATTAACCTTTATTTCTTAAACCTAATAATAAAGATACTCCTTCACCTCAGGCACAAATGGCAATTGTTCAAAAGTAAAGTCAATTGTTTTACACACACGCACAAAAAATAAAAAAAGTCAATAGTTTTAAATTTAAATGCGTAGTTAAATATAAGTATTCAATATAAACAAGTGATTCAAATATATTACGTAGTTGTTGGCGGCAAATTCTGACTCTCAAAGCAGCAGTTTTTCACAACGATGGATTCGTCGGACTTGCACGGTTATGCACGTGTACTCAATTCCTTAAACACCCAAAACTCAGTTCCGCAAGGAAAACAACTCCACCTTCTTTTCCTCAAAAGGGGTGTCCTGTTTTCCACTCTCACCATAGCCAACCGCCTCCTGCAAATGTATGCGAGGTGCGGAATAATGGACGACGCCCGAAACCTGTTCGATGAAATGCCTCACAGAAACTGCTTCACTTGGAACACCCTACTCGAGGGATACGCTAAGTCGGGACGCAAAAATGATTCGTTGGACTTGTTTTACTCGATGCCACATAAGAACGAGTTTTCTTGGAACGTAATTCTCTCGGGGTTGGCGAGAGCAGGGGAGTTGGATGTTGCGCAGCAGCTGTTTGTTGAAATGCCAAACAAGAACACAGTTGCGTGGAACACGATGATTCATGGGTATGCTAGACACGGGAAATCGAGGATGGCTTTGGTGTTGTTTAAGGATTTTTTGAAGTGGGAGACTGTCGAAAGTGGTGGCATTTTGAGATGGGACCCGTTCGTTTTGGCGACTGTGATTGGTGCTTGTTCGAATTTTGGAGTTCTTTATTTGGGGAAGCAAATTCATGCTCGAATGATAATTGATGATGTGAAATCCGATTCCGTTTTGGGAAGTTCGCTCGTGAACATGTACGGAAAGTGTGGTGATTTGGATAGTGCTGGCCATCTTTTGAATGCAATGGACGTTCCGGATGATTACTCATTGTCCTCATTGATTTCAGGCTATGCGAATTGCTGTAGAATGGACGATGCAAGAAGAATATTCGAACGTAAATCTAACCCTTGTGTTGTGTTATGGAATACCATGATTTCAGGGTACGTTGCTAATTCTGACGCAAAAGAGGCCTTAATATTTTTTCGTAGCATGCACAAGCAAGGGGTTGTGGGAGATTATTCTACATTTTCGAGTACTCTGAGTGCATGCAGTAGTATTGGTATTGTTAAGAACTGCATTCAAGTGCACGCACAGGCAAATAAACGGGGAATCATTTACGACCTTGTTGTTGCGAGTGCCCTCGTTGATGCATATGCTAAATGCGGGAGTCATATCGATGCTTGCAATTTTTTCAGCGAGCTGAAAATTTACGATACTATTTTGCTCAATTCTATGATCACTATTTACTGTAATTGCGGTAGAATTATAGAAGCGAAACGTATCTTCGACGATATGAAATTGAAAAGTTTGATCTCGTGGAATTCGATGATGGTTGGTCTGAGTCAGAATGGTTATGCTGTGGAAGTATTACAACTCTTTTGCACAATGAACAACGACAACAACTTAAGCATGGATAAATACAGCCTAGCTAGTGCAATTACTGCATGTGCTGGAATCGCATCACTCGAACTCGGCGAACAGATTTTTGCTCGAGCTACTGTCATTGGCGTAGATTCCGACCAGGTCATAGCAACTTCCCTTATAGACTTCTACTGCAAGTGCGGTCTCGTAAGAAACGGTCAGAAATTATTTGACCAAATGACGAAATTCGACGAGGTTGTATGGAATTCAATGTTGGTGGGCTACGCTACAAATGGATTTGGAATCGAAGCATTGTCTCTGTTTCAAGAAATGAGAAGAGTGAATGTCACACCTAATGAAGTTACGTTTACTGCAGTTTTATCGGCTTGCGATCATTGTGGGTTGGTAGAAGAAGGGAAGAAATGGTTTTACGTGATGAAAAACGAGTATTGTATCAACCCTGGTATTGAACACTACTCTTGCATGATCGATCTTTTTGCTAGAGCGGGTTGTCTGAAAGAAGCAATTGATCTTATTGATGAGATTCCTTTTCAGTCCGATGCAACTATGTGGTCAGCGGTTTTGAGAGGTTGCATCGAAAACGGAGAAAAGTCGCTTTCTTTGAAAGTTGCCAAAAGAATTATCGAGCTCGATCCTCGAAATTCCGGTGCTCTTGTACAGTTATCGGGTGTAATGGCGTCTACTGGAGATTGGAAGGAATCTGCATTAGTGAGACAGTTTATGAGAGAGACGAGAATTCAAAAAAATCCCGGAAGAAGCTGGTGCAATATCTGAGAACGAAAATCTGGGATTATTTTCTAATGGGTTAGTTATTGAAACTACACTATCTTTCTTCTACCTTTCAAATTCAAATTTTAATTTGCATTAAATGAAATGACGAATCTTTTCTTCGATTTGTAGTATTCGTTTTATTTCCTGGAAGATGTCGAACTGTGGGACGAGGAATTCAATAATTCATGGATGGACGTCGCCTCGTTTAACCAGGTTCGTTTTCTTGTTACATTGTTGTTGCAGTTGGTTTCTTCTGTGTTTGTGTTTTCTTGATCTTGTTTATGTTGTGGGATTGATTACCTATTCTGTACGCCAGGAATTGAATTTATCAATAATTCTCTTTGGTATTGTGAGCTACTTCTCTTAGATTTTGGGCTGTAATTATATGAGGTTGTCTCAAGATTTACTACCTTAGAGTCTCTCTCTCTCTCTCTCTCTCTCTCTCTCTCTCTCTCTCTCTCTCTCTCTCTCTCTCTCTCTCTCTCTCTCTCTCTCTCTCTCTCTCTCTCTCTCTCTCTCTCTCTCTCACACACACACACACACACACACAGAGTGGATTATAAGTCTAATTATGAATCTGTACAGTTGGAAGAATTGATGAGAACTCTATTAAAAAAAATTAAAATTATCTCTACATAGTTGCTCAAAATTCAAATGCATGCAGCCTACAGTGCCGTACTAGAGAAGATTACTGTCCTCAATTAGGCCAAGTTGTCACGTGGGATTAATAGTTTTAGGCCTCTAGCCAATTAAATATATATATATATATATATATATATATATATATATATATATTGATACATATAATAAATAAATGAAATAGGGATTGTGTTTTGGTGTTTGGTAATTGTAATTAATAAATATCCTTTTTATTAATTGGCTACAGGGATGGTTTGGTTTCCAGTTATGAATCAAAATACAATTAAATTTCTCCTACAAGATTAGAGTGACACGTGCTTTGTGTAATTGTGTTCGAATTGTCCCATCTACATATATATATATATCCCTACCTTTTTTTTGTCCTATACTTTAATATTCATTTCATCTTTATCCCTACAATTCAAGAAAAACACAATTCACTCTTTCCACCTTTTTTTTCTTCTTATGTCTTTTTTCTTAATGTTTATAAATTAACAAAAAATATATAATCACAATGACAAAAACGTGAGAGACTTGAACTCTTCTCACAGCCCTCCAATTTATTTATTTATTTATTTATTTTTTTTTCAATTTATTTAATTTCTCCCAAAATTTGGAAAATAGATTTATAGTATATCACATCGCTGATGTGGATGTGACTTAACTTTTGCCCAAGGGAAGATAGCTACACAACCATAGTTTGGTATACTGGGATAATATTTTTACTTAACTCTACATAATTAAAATTTATTACATTTCAGCATGCATTGAAGTGATTATCTATCTATATATATGTACATATATGTATGTATGTAATAATACTAGTTAGGAGATCACAATTCACAAATGGCTCACTGGTTTGGAAGATCAAGAACCATTACACATTTTCTTAAGACAAAGATTATTAGTTCTTCTTACAGAAGCTTGGCCGGTGATGGTAGCGGAAAGGCGTGTGGAATATTCCGGGAGAAGTCCGCCGTGATTCCGGCTTTTCGGCGATCGGAATCGGCCAGAGCTGGGGACCTTGTCGAAGCGGTAACTTATTCTGATGATGACGACGACGAAAATCAGGTAATGTTTGTAAACTTGTCTCTCTGTATTTGTTTTTAGTTATGTTGGTAAACTTGTTTCTGTGTGTGTATTTATGTTCTTGCTTCTTATATATGATTCTCTCTCTCTCTCTCTTAATTCCATTTTACTGTTAGAGCTTCTTATATGTGAAATCAATTTAAATTTAAATTTGTTTTCTTGCTTCTTACTGATGTTTCATTATTCTTAATATAAACTTTTTATTCGCAAAGATTGTTGAATGTGGACTCGAGGGCTTTTTTTTTAAATTAAGAATTCCAAATTTATAATAATTCAGGAAATTCATTTCAATAAATTTATTTATCAAAGAATTTAAATATTCAGCCCTCGAACTGAAGTATCTTTTCGAGTAATTGTGGTGACAGTCTTATGTCTCAATTTTAAATATTGCCTCTGAAATTAGAAAGGTATATATATATCGGGAAATACGGCCACCCCTGAGGCAAGGTCAAACTATGAAAATACCCCTCTTATGCATCTACCTTTGTGGTGTCAAATTTACCTACTGAAAGAGGGGTTCTTTTGTAAGACAATACATAGTTAATGGTGGTGTTTGTAATTTATCCTAACATGAGAAGTTTTGTTTCGTAATTCGATCTTACTTCAGAGGTGGCCGTAATCCGACCATATATATGTGTGTGTAGTAGTATCTCAGTGGCAATGCTGTAATACTGTACAATTTGTGGGGAAACTATTTGTCAGCCCAAATGAGAATGTGAAAGATTGGACTGGATCAGAAACATACGCCCAATGTTATGGGCCCACAATAAGAAGATTCTAATTAATACGAAATAAAATGTCAGAAATACCCTTCTCTCTACTTTTTGGACATGTGTGTGATTTCCCAGGCATGCAGTAATAGCTCTCGTGTTCGGAGTGTTCCGCCACCTGCTAATATATGTGCTCCTCCTTAAAACCCCTTTCTCTTCTTTCATAGCTGTAATAAAATTAAAACACACACACACAGTGTCCTAGAAAATTGAAGAACTTCAACATGAATTTGGTCTCTAAAAATCTCAAGAAACCATGGAACAAATTTGGGTTTCATTATATGCTAATTATAGCTCCTAATTACTTTTCATCATTTGGTAAATCTCGGTTTAAATCAACCACCAGCCCATTGACTGAACACCCATATTCCTTTAACCTTCAACAAGATGCTGATTTTAACAATTCTGTTCAGGTCTCTCTCTCTCTCTCTCTCTCTCTCTCTCTCTCTCTCTCTCTCTCTCTCTCTCTCTCTCTCTCTCGGAATGTATGTAATTTACAACACAATCCCTTAATTATTGAATTTATATAGTTCATTGATTACTGGTTCTTTGTGTTGAATCTTGTTCCTGCTTGTGTTAGTAAAAATGAAAGAAAGATGCTCAATTGATTCTTATTTTCAAGAATGCGGTGTTGTTTGCTTAATTGTAATTAATTAAAAACAGGGTTTAGAATTTCCTGGTGGAAGAGTCACATTTACTCCCCAAATGAAATTCATCGCTGAATCCACCGACAACCGAGTACCTTGTTATCGTGTTCTCGACAACAATGGCTGTCCAATCCCTGGCAGCACATTCGACCAGGTATATATATATATATATATATACACATACACACATATATATATATATATATATATATATACACATGTGTGTGTGTGTGTGTGTATTTTAAATTTTATGTTGTGGAAAAAAAATGAATTAGGTGGACAAAGAAACAGCGGTGAAGATGTACCGGAAAATGGTGACGCTTCAAATAATGGACACCATTTTCTACGAAGCGCAAAGACAGGGGAGATTATCGTTTTATCTGACATCGACCGGTGAAGAGGCGATTAATATCGCTACAGCTGCTGCTCTCACACCTGATGACATTTTATTCACCCAGGTAAATTAATTAATTAATTAATTACCTTAACATCGTTTAAAAATAGGACAAACGTGTGTTAATATAGTCTAATTATAAAATTATCCAGTATCGGGAGCCTGGCATTTTATTGTGGCGTGGTTTCACGCTCGAAGAATTCGCAAACCAATGCTTTGGCACCAAAGATGGTCATGGCAAAGGCAGGCAAATGCCGATTCATTATGGCTCCAAAGAACATAATTTCTTCACCGTTTCTTCGCCTATCGCGTAATTTTACTCCGCCCCTTCAACTAAATTGCGTTTATATATTATAAAAAAAATAAAAAAAAATTAATTCGTCGGAAAATCTTATTACGTACAGAACACAGCTGCCTCAAGCGGCAGGTGCTGCTTACTCCCTCAAGATGGCTAATAAGGAAGCCTGTGTTGTTGCTTTCACTGGTGATGGTGGCACAAGTGAGGTAGAAACCCTATATATATGTTTATATATATATATATATATTATTAATTTTTTTTTTTACTAGACTTATTTTGAATATTTGACAGGGAGATTTTCATGCTGGATTGAACTTTGCAGCAGTAATGGAAGCCCCTGTAATGTTCATATGTCGAAACAATGGGTGGGCCATAAGCACACCGATATCCGATCAGTTCCGAAGTATTATTTATCACTATCTATATTACTAAATGTTTTTCTTCTTACATAATTGATTTATTGAAATTCTCTTTTTTTCTTTTAATCTCGGTAGGCGATGGTGTAGTTGTTAAAGGTCAAGCATATGGAATACGAAGTATTCGAGTAGATGGAAACGACACTCTGGCTGTTTACAGTGCAGTTCGTGCAGCTCGTGAAATGGTCATAACCGAACAGAAACCAATGCTAGTCGAGGTGAAGTTAGAATTTTTTGTTTTTGGTTCGATAACAAGCAGGCAAAACTTTTCATATGCAAACAAAAATAACTTTTCGAATTTTTTCATGTTTATTTTTGTTTAGTTCCTTACGTATAGAGTGGGCCACCACTCCACGTCAGATGATTCAACCAAATACCGATCTTCGAATGAGATCGAGCAATGGAAAACGGGTAGAAGCCCGATATCCAGATTCCGAAAATGGGTCGAGAGGAACGGGTGGTGGAGCGATGAGGAGGAAACGGAGCTTCGTAAAGATGCAAGGAAACAGGTTTCTTATTTGCATGTCTTTTTATTATCCATGTCCATAGTAGGAGTGAAAATCGGACGGATCGGGTCGCAATTAACAATTTTGAAAAATATCTGAAAAACTGATTTTTTCCAGAAGAGAAAAAATAATTCCAATTCCTGTAAAAATATAACAACATTGGAAAAAAAAATCTGAAACCAGAATTTCTGAAATTGGAATGAAAAATCTTGATCCAAATTTGTAAAATTTAGCGGTATTCGGAAATTTCCAAATATTTTCTCCTAATATGGATATTATAAGTGTAAATTTTGGAGAAAAATCAAAGTTTTTGGAAATTCAAATCGGATCCGAAATTGGTTTCTCATACATATATTCGAATTCCAATCCAAAAAGTTTCGGAAAAACTGGAAATCGAAATTTCGGCATTTGGAATGAAAAATACTGTTCCAAAATTGGGAAATTTCATATTGAAATCAGCGGAAATCAGAAATCCCGTTCCAATTTCCGCACCTACTCTGTAGTATATGTAATTTTATTTTTTCATTGTCATGTAAATTAATTGGGTTCGATATGCAGGTATTGAATGCAATTCAAGTGGCGGATAAAACGGAGAAACCTTCTCTCGAAGATCTATTCACCGACGTTTACGACAGTCCGCCGTCGAATCTTGTAGAGCAAGAGAAGTCACTAAGAGAAACCATCAAGAGGCACCACCAAGATTTCCCTTCTGATGTGCCTATATAGATAGATACAGATTTATATATGTAACAATACCTGATAATTCTTGCTAAGAATATTCTAAAAAGCACCAATAAGCTACCGACAAGTGTCCTCTAGTTCGTAATTCCATTGGGCCTTATATTTAAGTATGGGCCCACTTGGTTAATTGCTTCTAGCCCATACTTCAATATCTGATTAGTATTTCCTTTTAGAGCTAAAACGGTGTCGTTTCGTAGAAAACCCTCCCAAAAATTTCCCCAAATCCGATCTCCCAAATTCCCCAGCTGAAACCCTAATTTCCTCTGACACATTTATCATTATAGTGATAACTGTAGAGGGGCACTTTTGTAACTAATTTCAAACCTGACATTGTACGGACGCCAACCAGAAATCATATTTCGGAGAAACCCACGATGTTTTTTATGTTTTTGTTTTTTTGGCTTGTCTATTCAGAAACCCGCGAAAAATGGCTTCTCTGGAATCATCTCCTTTGTTCGATCATCTGTGGGCGGCTGTATTTCCCGCGAAAACCCATTACGAATATCCACAGAATATCACCTGGAAATATACTTGGGATATTCCTCATCTCTTTATAGTTTATACATTCGAAAAGATTAGGACAACAATAATGGTGGGTTTTGATGACGAGGTATAAAAGAAATTACTGGTCTTGATGTGTAATTTGACTGGTTAGACCCTCACTATCAATCCCATTTTGCAATTTTGTCCATTTCTTGAAATTGATTGGATATATTGCCTTTGAGAAAGTGCACTTGCATTCAAGAAAAGATATATCTTTTTTTTTTACTATCTGTTGGGAGTTCGGTTTTCTTGATTTTTAAGCCGTGAAATAAAGCTATGGAGAGCAGCAATAATAGTTTTAGGGATAGTAGTGCTCTAATGCCATCACGCGTTTTGATTGTGTTTGATGCCACTAAAGATCGCAGTCATCATGAGTTTAGTCGTACCGTCACTAATCTCCGAATGTGGGGCGGCATCGTCCATCCAGGCGATACAATTACGTTCGTCGGTGTGCTGCATAAAGTCTTGCATCCCAGTAAGTTTTTTTTTTTTCGTAAACGCTTTTCGAATATTATACTTTTTGGTTTTGTCAGTTCTTTGATGTTCTGGAAGTAGGATTTTAATCCTCATTCTTGATTTATTGGATGATTTTGGTTCAATACAAGGCTTACAGAAATCGACATCGTTCGTTTTTTTTTTAATTTGATCTAATTTTATTAGTCTTCGTTGTGCTACGCAATTCTTAATTTATTCGTCGTTATTGTTTCTGCACAGTGGGTTACCAAATGGGAGTGGCTCCCGAGAATTTTCTCGGGGCAACACATATCCGAGCATTGGAAGAAGAAGTATCGAAAAAAGTCGATATGTATTTGGGAATGCTCCAGCTCAGCGCCGAAGAATGTGAAGGCGAAGGGGTAAATTAATTATACACTTTTCTATATTCCCATCTAATAATCTTGGTGGCAGATTGTCGGAATATTCCTTTCGTCGTGAAATAGATTCTCCGTACGCAGGTAGATATTGAAGTCAAGATTATTGCTGGAACTCCAATAAGAAAAGTTGTAATACAAGAAGTCGCAACCTATAACGCATCATGGGTTATACTCGATAGGTAGCATTTTGTAATACTTATTCGTCGTTAAATCTAACGACTTTTTTCCCCCTTAAAGAAATTTAACACATATATTTTTCTACGACGACAGGCATCTGAGAAAGGAATCGAGGTTCTACCTTAAAAACATCCCATGCAAACTCGCGTTAGTCCTCGATAACTTATCACTCGAGATATTAAGACCTTATTGTTCTAAAAAGGAAATCGATTATATAGAAGATAAGCACTTTTACTCGCTCGCAAAGCGGGTCCCACTGCCACCGGTTAGTGATAACGAGAACAACGAACAGTCACAGTCAACCATTACTATCAGCTACAATGAGTCAACGACTTCCATTGAAAGCTCCAATATAGCCAAGGATCTTATAAGCTTTTCCTCACAAGACGAATTTGGACAAAACATTAACCGGGATATTAAATCTTACATCTCTCCTCCGATCCTGACGAGGCAACGAAGAAAAGCCGGTCGATACAATAATACAGGCTCCGATGCACCGATTCTGTGCATTGATTGTGGATTAAAAACAGAGATTGATTCGATGAGATATAGCTATTCCGAGATTCAGTTAGCAACGGATAATTTCTCGTCAGATAATTTACTCGGAGAAGGTGGGTATGGTTTTGTATATAAAGGCAAGCTTAGAAACGGGCAGAATATTGCTGCAAAGGTTCATAAGGAAGAAAGTACACAAGGGTTTTCCGAGTTTCAATCGGAAGTATTTGTACTTAGCTTTGCGCGTCATAAGAACATCGTTATGCTTCTTGGTTATTGTTGCAAGGAGAATATTAATATCTTGATTTACGAACGTATCTGCAATAAATCGCTCAACTGGCATTTATTCGGTGAGTAAAAATCTATTTTTACGTACGAAAAATTCCAAAAAATAATCGATATTCATTTTCGATTTTTTTTTTTTTTTTGTGTGGATGTTGGCAGAAAATACGAGCTGTGTTATGGAGTGGCACAGAAGATATGCTGTGGCGATTGGAACTGCAAAAGGGTTGCGTTTTTTGCACGAGGAGTGTAGAGGGAGTCCTATAGTTCATCGAGATATGCGGCCGAGTAATATATTGCTCACGCACGATTTTGTCCCTATGGTAAAATTTTAAGTTGAAAACGAATTAAAATGGCATATTTTTGTTTTGAGGGGTTAAAATGCGTCTTGATTAATAGCTGGGGGACTTCGGTCTTGCAAAGTGGAAGACGAACGAGGATGAAGTACAGTCGAGAATTCTAGGCACTCTTGGGTTAGTACGAAAAAGATTGCAACTTTATATTGAAAACATCCGTTAAACAAAAAATAAATCGGACGAGTTTTTTTTTTTTTTTTTGAGGTTTCTTGCATTGTGCAGATATCTTGCACCGGAGTATGCAGAAAACGGGATTGTTTCTGTTCGAACGGATGTTTACGCATTTGGCATTGTTCTGATACAATTAATATCTGGACGTAAGGCAGTCGATACTTCTAGCCAAGGCCAAGAATCATCTCTCCGGCAGTGGGTATGTTATTGTTATTATTATTAGGGTAAATTACGATCACCCCTGAGGTATGGTCAAATTACGAAAACCCCCCTCCTGTTTGGTAATTACATCCACCATCCTCAACTATATAAATCTTCTTACACGTTCACCCTTGCGGTTTCAAATTTAGTGGAATCTTCGAGATTATGGAGTATTATCACTTTTGTACCCGTTTTATCCCATTTGATCTCCACTTTTTGAAGAAAAATGATCATAATATGTGTTTTTTGGCTTATATATCAGATTGTGGTGCATCAGATACTGTATTTTTACACAAAACGAGTACAAACTAGATGATTATGTTGAATTTGACACCATAAGGGTGGCGGTGTAAGAAAAAAGTCATAGTTGAGGGGTAGATGTAATTATCCAAACAAGAGGGTTTTTTTTTGTAAATTGACCATACCTCAGGGCTGGTTGTAATTTACCCTTATTATTATTATTAATAATTTTTTTTATATTAAAGTTAGAAATTACATAGACAAATTCTTTTTGACTCGGAGAATATTCTACCATGGTATTAATTTCAGGCGTTACCTCTAATCGAGGCACTTGCATTACACGAGCTCGTCGATTCTCGTCTCGGTGAATCATACAACACGTACGAACTGTACAACATGGTTAGAACATCGTATTTATGTGTCCAAACCGACCCTCAGAGGCGACCATCCATGCCAGAGGTATAGAATTTCTCCTGCTATTTTAATTGCAACGTCGTCCCTAAAATTAATGTCTTTGAACGAACGTTTATAATTGGTGCAGGTGCTGCGATTTCTCGAGGGAGAAAGCGATCATTTTCAACACTTGACGGACCAATTCATACCTCACTATAGTAAGTAAACTTCGTTCGATAGAAGCAACTACTTTTCGTGTATGTTACGGTTTTCGGTTTCGATTTTCATGTACTAGGTTTAAAATCCTCTGCATTCTTGAAATAAGGGTGTTTGTTTTATGATTATTGAATATCTTTTTTTTAAATATTAATTTTTATGTATTTAAATAAATTATTATTGAAAATGTGAATAATAATACACATTTGAGACAACAATGATGGGCAAGTAATGATTGATCTTATTGCAATTGTTGTGTGCCTCTTAGGATTGTCCCATGTAATGTAACAACAGTGTCGACCACAAGTTGAGGCCTTTGTTTCACTACAATTTAATTATTATAGATAAGGTTTATTTATTTAATATTATTTTCTTTTTTACTTTTTCCCATGTGTTGTTATCTTCACTCACCAACTTGACCTTTTGGAATATTCTTTTTTTTTTTTTGCCAATAATTGAGAGATTTAGATTTCTTTTTATTTTTTTATTTTTTTCCCCGTCAATACTCTCTTGCTATTTTCTGGTGATATTTACCCAATAAAGAAATAAGTCTTTAATTAGTAGTGGAAAAAAAAAATAGGTTATAGTTGTTTTTTTTTGTTTTGCTGATTTTTAATATATTTTTTTATGGGAGAGAGAATATATAATTGCATTAAATAAATTTCTTCATGCAAAACATGATATTGTATGTTATTTCCAACTTGCATAAAAAATAAAAAAAGAATAAAATAAAATAAAATAAAAATAAAAATCCCAAGTGAACAAGTTGTTTCTTCTATTTTGTGGTGTTCCAACAAGTGGGAAATATTCAATCAATTACGAAGATGCTAGATAGATATATGGCCCTTTTCAATAACTCCAAACATATATTCTACTTTAATTTTTCTACATCTCACAATATATATATATATATATATATATATATATATATATATATATATATATAAGTCCATACTTGATTCTTTATGGATTCTGCATTTGCATTAACCTTTTAGATTCTAAATAAAATTCCACATTTTTTGTGGACAATGTCAACTTGAGATTGAGGTTCCCCTTTGCAAATTAAATTGGAAAATAAAAAAGATAATATGGAATATATTTTATATATATATATATATATATATATATATATATATATATATATATATGTGTGTGTGTGTGTGTGTGTGTGTGTGCGCCCCCTATTGGCTACTGATTTGCTTTGCATCTTCAACCATTAATATTCATCTGGAATTTAATGCTTACTGGGGTAGGTTTATTGTGTGTGAGAGATTCTCTAATGTAGCTTTATTTATTTATTTATTTTATTTATTATTATTCCTTTTTTTTTTTTTTGAGTCCTTGTTAGAAACCTAGTTGATTTAACATAGCATAATTCGAACTAGTTTGACTTGTTTGGGTACACATAAACACAAAAAGCTTTCTGAATCTTGAATCTCCCATCTCTCTCTCTCTCTCTCTCTCTCTCTCTCTCTATATATATATACATTATAGAGAGAGATATAGAAGATCATGATTCATCGTTCTCCCCGAATAGATAAAGAAGATCTTAATTATTAGCTAAAAGCATAAATTAATATTCATTTTTTTTATTTAATAGTTAGATTTGTTTGGTTATATGTATTAATGGAGTATGTGAAACTTAAGCTGGAATGTGATTCTGTTACTTATGGTGCACATAAATTATGCAAAGTTTGAGATGATACCATCCACTTAATTTATTATATTCAATTAATATTATTATTTGTATAGTTTTAGGTGCCGCAGGATTGACGATTCAAAGTGCAATAC